TTTAAGATAAATAAAACTACCAAATTTCATAATGAAAAATTGATTAGAATTAATTTCTACTAGCTAAAATTAGATTTTCCATGAATGAAATAACATAAATATGTACAATTTAAATTAAGCAAAAATAAGAACTCAAGTATCCAATACAGTTGTTTATTAATTCCTCCTCAGAATCTAAATTCTTGATTGTAGGAAAAGAAAAGGAATGATGAAAGTGGAAATGATATTTTTAGTAAATAATAATACTTAATTATATTAACAGCATAATACTTAAAATTTTTTGAAATCTATTTATCAATTATCTATCTAATTTGAACAACAAATCAGGTTATAAATCAGACAATTCTAGGTAAAAATAATTAAAATAAATTAGTTAACATTCATACTATTTGTAAGACAGAAATTATAATGCTTGTTAAATTGAAATTACTTTTTGGAGATCATCAACATAATAAAATGATGTAATTTTAGTTTATGAAACGAAAACAATGATTTTAATACTAAATTAGTTGCAGGGACAAAATATTGTTATAATTAGATTTTGTCTAAGAATATTGCAATCTTAAACTTAATTCAAGTTGTGAAAGGACTAATCTAGTTTGAAAAATTTTAGAATTTTAAAGCAACAAAATGCCAAGTATGTCTTGATGACAGAAGATAAAAGTGGATAGAAGTTAAATTATTTCATCAAATTACTTGATATCATTCTAGAATTACATTTTTATTTACATAATAATTTAATTATTATCAATCATTATTCAAAATGAAAAGGTATGATTTATCTAATTAATTTACGATTACAATGAAGTTTCTGGGAGAAGATTCATACAATCTTATTTTTAAGGTAATAAGTCAATTGAATTAGTATATTCTCGAATTTATTTTAGTAATTCTCATCAAACATATCAAATTCTAATATATAATGTCTTTGTATGAAAATAATATTAATAATAATTTCAACTAAAGTCAATAGAATTTGGAAATAATATAGGAATAATAATTTATTTTTCGTTGACCAGTGTATGAGTATAATTATAAACAAAGAAATCACCTTTTTGAGGATAACTAAAATAATTGAATTACATCTAATGATTATTGATGCAATAAGTTTGTAATGATGACTATTGAGAGTATGGATCCTAGGTATTTATATAATTACTGTGTAAAATTAGAGAGCATCATTTTTTGTTTTTAGATGGGTAAAATAAATAATTAACAAAGACAATAAATATTTGAGTACCCAATCCATATAGAAATTTTTATATAAGAAGAAATTTAGAATTCGCCCAACTCATAATGCTAATTTTAAAGTAAATTCCTTCACTTTATTTCTATCAGTATAAATGCCGATATTGTTGAGCTTTTCTCTAAAAATATATACATTACTTTGAAACCATTAGAGTTATTTGAATGTTTTTCATAAAGTTCTAGAATTTAATCAAGCTATCTACTTACTTAGAAAATTTGGATTCTGATAGTTTTTTATAAATAGATTAAAACTTTTTTTGTCATCTATTTAAAACTAATATTTTTATAATTACAATTTTTTACTTTACAAAAAGCTAATCCATACTTTCTTTGAGTATTTAAACCTTCAATCCCTATTGACTAAAGTCCACACACCAAGCTCGAAAATAACACCATTAATTTGATTTATACCTCCTCACCTAAAGAGCTTGCCCCAGTTATAATTGTCCCCAAGATCTTTCATAAATGCCATCAAACCTTGATAGTTCTGGCAAACGAAGAGAATTGACTTAAGTCCAATCAGCGTAGTATTTTTTACCGTTATGATACGCTTGCAGTTTAAGTTCAGATATTTCACAGTCAGTTTTTCAAATTGTAACTAATTTTAATATTCAGAAATTTTTAATATAAAGAATGTTAATAAACAAACAATTACCTATCAAATTAAAATTACCCTTTTTTAAGTTTTAGATCTTTTATTGTTTATATAATAGAATTTACTCATTAATTTTCTGAGCCAATTCTGAGTATGCTAGTATAGTATATATTATCAGTTGAGTAGTCATTTAGATAAGGATCTTTATATGTCACATAGCCAGGCCCTTGAAAACACTCAAACTATGAGAACCACTTGATTTAGGTATTTATAAAGTTGCAACATTAATCCATTATTATATTGGAATTCTGAATTTGATTCTCTGTTTCTTTAAATCAATAATTATTTGATTAAAGAGTTAGTAGTCATGCGATTATTAACAAAAAAATTAATTCAAAATTCTCAAAAGACGGA